GGGGCCCGCTTTGGGCCATTTTGGAAGCCGTCGGGGCTCTCTTGAGGCCCTCTTGGGGCTCTCTTGGGTGTCTTGGGGCCCTGGGGGCCCTCTTGGGGCCATCTTGTTGGCCAGCGGTCAGAAAAAAGGGGGGGTAACGCATGCCCTCCTTATCGGAGGCTGGCAACTCGCCTTTTGGGGCCCTCTTGTGGCGCTCTTGAGGGCTCTTGAGGCGCTCGTGGGCGCTGTTGGGGTTGTTTTGGGGCTATATTGGGTCCCTTTTGGGGCTCTTGGGCCATCTTGCAACAATTTCGACGCTTCAGAAACCCATGGGGGGCGAAAGGGCAAGAAGGCAACACACACACTGATGTACCTTAGGCTTTGAAGAGATGTTGGCCTCTTGGGGGCGTCATCGGGAGGGTCTGTGGCCACTAGCAGACGTCTTGGGACGGTCTTGATTATTCCGGGAGGCCTGTTGGAGGCAATCTTGAACCATCTTGGCCTATGTTGAGCAATATTTGAAACCATCTTGGGCTATTCAAGGTCACCTGGGAGCGATATTGAGCAAGTGTGGACCCTTCAACGACCCGCGGGGAGAGGACTCCAGACTTTGGGAGTGGGAGCGTGGGTATGTGGGGCAAGCAGGCTTTCTCCCGAAGGGAAAGGAGGTTGGAATAATGAATTGCGGAAGCCATCTACGTCCAGAGGGCTGGTAGGGTGTTGCTTATGGAAAGGTTCAGTTTTTCTTTAAGAGTCCGGCACGTTTGCTTGCACAGAGGACGGGGGATGGGGGGCGTGGCGAGGCCCGCAAGGGAATTTGAACTTCACGCACGTCAGAACTCCCTTGCACGCCTTCTGGGCCCATCGGTGCTTGAAATGGCGGCGGTGGGGGGGGGAGATATGCCATGCAAGTGAAGTTGCCAGAGTCTGGATGCAGCAACAGGCTCCAAGCGACGAGCGAACAACACACACACACACACCCGTACCCATAGGGGGGACGGAGGGCGCTGTCCCCGCTCGAACGAAAACCTCCCCCGGGATCCGACAGCCCGCACCCGTGGCCACAGCCAGCCCTCTCCCATCCGGCCTCCCCACCGGTGTGGGCGTGCGTGTCGCTCGTGCATCACCAAGGGGGGTGGGACAGGGGCCGTGGGGCCCGCGGCTGCCGGGCAGGTGGAGAAGGCCAACACCGAGAAAGCGAGGCCTGCTCTGGCGGCGGCGCGCGCGCGCGCGCCTGCCGCGTGCCACCTCGCGCGCCAGCCGCCCCAGCGCCGATGGGGGCGGGTTGCGGGGAGGGCGAGGAGGAGGCGGAGGAGGAGAAGGGCGGCGAGGGCATATGCCCGAGGCGTCGGAGGAGGGGGGATGGTGGTGGTGGTGGTGGTGGTGGTGGTGGTGGTGGTGGTGGTGGTGGTGGTGGTGGTGAGGAGGAGGAGGAGGAGGAGGAGGAGGAGGAGGAGGAGGAGGAGGAGGAGGACGAGCAGGAGGAGGAGGAGCAGGGAGGAGGAGGAGGAGCAGGAGGAGGGGGGATGGTGGAAGAGGATGATGAATGAGGAGGAGTGCAAGAGGATTGCAAGGATTACTGCCATTACACCAGTTATAACAAAAACACAGGCCATGAAGCTGAGGGACTTCGGATGCAATTTACGGGTGAACTCTGCAGGTACCCGCGGCGCGTCTCCGAATATTGGTCGTGCTGACGGAACAAGCCGCATCTATCTTACTGTTTAATTACGGGTGGAGAAGAAGGGAAGGGTAGGGGAGGTGTAGGGGAGGGGTGGTGAGGATGACGAGGGTGATAAGGGTTATGATAATGATAATCAGGATGAGGATGATGATGATGATGATGATGATGATGATGATGATGATGATGATGATGTGATGATGATGATGATGATGATGATGATGATGATGATGATGATGATGATGATGATGATGATGATGATGATGATGATGATGATGATGATGATGATGATGATGATGATGATGATGATGATGATGATGATGATGATGATGACGATGATGATGATGATGAACACGATGATGACGATGATGATGATGACGATGACGATGATGATGTTGATGATGACGATGAAGATGATGAGGAGGAGTAGGAGGAGGAGCTGGAGGAAGAGGAGGAATAATGAGACACATCCTATTATTACGTATACGACCACCCTTCAGGTGATAAGGGGGTTGGGGGGTGCGTGGCAAAGATGGTTTGGCGGCAAAGAATCAACAGTTGGCAAGTGCGGTGGGTGTGATGATGACGACGCTGGTTACTCGCCCTCGAGTTAGCGACGACGCGTGATGACGATGTTGCGCTGTGATGTAATGTTACTATCGTTCTCACTGTCGATCTCGCTTTCGACCTAACTGCCGATCTCACTATCGATCTCACTATATATTCCTCTATCGATCTCACGATCGATCTCACAACTAATGTCACACTCAACCTCACTGTCGATCTCACTTTTGATCGCACTATCCTTCCCATGATAGCGATCTCATTATCGATCCCACTATCGATACCAAGGCGGGACACCCCCGGCCAACACTGCCCGCCCACCGCCGACGGAACACCGACGGGACACTCACGGGACACTAACGGGAGACCATAGGACAGCACCGCGGGACACCCCAGGCACCCGCGCGCCCACCAGTGGCGGATGGGCGATCCGCTGCATCCGAATCGCCTTAGCGACGTCGGGGTCATTCCTCTCGCGCGCCCACGCAGCTTCGTCTCGTCTCGCCCTCACGCACGGCACGAACACGAAACCGAAACCGATTTCCTGGGGGGGGGCTCTCCGTTCCATTGCGATCTTACCCCCTACTTCCCGACTAGCTAATAATAGTGAATGTACTACGAATAAAGGAGCACGACGATTGATAATAATACTAGTAAGAATCATACGCAGAGTAATAACAGAAATGGAAATAATAACATTGAGGATATCAGTACGCATGATTAATACTCTTACGGAAGAACATAATAATATTCTTCGAACTATAAGTATAGAACCAATAAGGCGAATCGGGCGAAAAATACGAAGCATAAGCATCCCAGTGGACCCTACCTAGGAGTTGGAGCCTCTAGGAAAGCAACATTAGTAGGAGCGGTAAACGCCGTCCTCCTCCTTCTCCTCATCGTCGTAGTTGTAGCAGTAGCGGTAGTAGTAGTAGTAGTAGTAGTAGTAGTAGTAGTAGTAGTAGTAGTAGTAGTAGTAGTAGGTGCGCCAGAACCGCCGACGCCACGCCGTAAGTGAAGCAGCAGCAGAAGCAGGTAGCAAGTCGCCGAGACAGCAGCAAAAGCAAGCAGGCACGGAGATGAGGGCGGGGCACTGGGGAGTTCTTTACATCTACATCTATATCTACACCTACATCTACATCGACACCTACATCTACATCTAGACCTACATCTACATCTAGACCTACAGCTACATCTACATCTACACCTGCATCTGCATCTACGCTATGCTGTGCTATGCTATGCTATGCTATACTGCGCTATGCTATGCTGCGCTATGTTATGCTATGATATGCTATGCTATTCTATGCTATGCTATGCTATGCTATGCTTTTGCTTTGCCTTCGCTTTTGCCTTCACTTTTGCCTTTGCCTTTGCTTTTGCTTGGCACCCAGGGAGCGCAACTGGGGGAACCGCGCGTTTGCTTTTACCTTTGCTGTTGCTTTTGCTTGGCTCCCAGGGGACTGGGGGAACCGCCCGGGGTGGTTTGCACTGCCCGGCCCCTGTAAGTCAAGCGAGTAAGAACCCTTCTAGGCAGAGCCTAGGTCGGGGGAGCAAGTATTATTAATAACAGGAATATAATGTAGTGAGCAGTACGTCAACGAATGCTAATTTTGTTAATCGTATTTTGAAACGGATAATAGTGATTATCCCAGTGCGACCCTACCTAGGAGTTGGAACCCCTAGGAAAGCAGCATTCGTAGTAACAGTAACGCTAAGCTAAAGCTAAGCTAAATCTAAGCTAAAGCTAAGCTAAAGCTAAGCCACAGCTAAGCTAAAGTTAAGCTACATCTAAGCTAAAGCTAAGCTAAACCTAAGCTAAAGCTAAGCTAAAGCTAAGCTAAAGCTGAGCAGCAGCTAAGCTACAGCTAAGCTACAGCTAAGCTAAAGCTAAGCTAAAGCTAAAGCTAAATCTAAAGCTAAAGCTAAGCTAAAGCTGAGCTACAGCTAAGCTCAAGCTAAGCTAAAGCTAAGCTAAGGCTAAGCTAAACGCTAAGCGAAAAGCTAAGCGAAACGCTAAGCTAAAGCTAAGCTACAGCTAAGCTAAAGCTAAGCTAAAGCTAAGCTAAAGCTAAAGCTAAAGCTAAAGCTAAAGCTCCCAGGGGACTGGGGGGAACCGCTCCCAGGGGACTGGGGGAACCGCCCGGGGCGCTTAGCACTGCCCGGCCCCTTTAAGCTAAGAGAGTAAGAACCCTTCTAGGCAGAGCCTAGGCAGGGAATAATATTTCAATCATATCAATCATACTACCGTTGCTCATGATAAAGATGTTAACCACCATCCTTTCCGCATGTTTATGTTTTGTAGTAGTAGCAGCAGGAATATTAGTAGTAGCAATCATCGGCGTAGTAGTAGTAGTAGTAGTAGTAGTAGTAGTAGTAGTACCACTAGTAACCGTAGTAGTAGTAGTAGTAGTAGTAGTAGTAGTAGTAGTAGTAGTAGTAGTAGTAGTAGTAGAAGTAGTACTAGTAGTAGTAGTAGTAGTTAGTAGGTAGTAGTAGAGTAGTAGTACGTAGTTAGTAGTAGTAGTAGTATTAGTAGAGTAGTAGTAGTCGTAGTAGTAGAGTAGTAGTAGTAGTAGTAGTACAGTAGTCGTAGTAGTAGCACTTAGCAGTAGGTAGTAGTAGTATTAGTAGTAGTAGTTAGTAGTAGTAGTTAGTAGTAGTAGTAGTAGTAGAGTAGTAATAGTAGTTAGTACTAGTAGTACTAGTTACTATTTAGTACTAGTAGTAGTAGTAGTAGTAGTAGTAGTAGTAGTAGTAGTAGTAGTAGTAATAGTAGTAGTAGTAATCGTAGTCGTAGTAGTAGTCGTAGTAGTAGTAGTAGTAGTAGTAGTAGTAGTAGTAGTAGTAGTAGTAGAAGTAGCAGGAGTAATAACATTAACAGTAGCCGTAGCAGAAGTAGTAGTAGTAGCAGTTGTCGTAGTAGTAGTATTAGAATTAGTAGTAGTAGTCGTAGTAGTAGTAGTAGTAGTAGAAGTAGTAGCCGCAGTTATTCAGTTAGTTAGGTAGCTCGTAAGTGACCCATATAGTTAATTAGTTAGTTTGTTAGTTAGTGGGCTAGTTGATTAGTCAGTTAGTTAGTTAGTTAGTTATTTAGTTAGCTAGTTAGTTTGTTAGTAGTAGTAGTAGTAGTAGTAGTAGTAGTATTAGTAGTAGTAGTGCTAGTAGACGTAGTAGTAGTCGTAGTCGTAGTCGTAATCGTAGTCGTAGTAGTAGCACTCGTAGTAATAGTAGTAGTAGTAGTAGTAGTAGTAGTAGCAGCAGTAGTAGTAGTAGTAGTAGTAGTAGTAGTGGTGGTAGTAGTAGTAGTAGTAGTAGTAGTAGTAGTAGTAGTAGTTGTAGTAGTAGTAGTAGTAGTCGTAGTAGTAGTAGTAGTAGTAGTAGTAGTAGTAGTAGTAGTAGTAGTAGTAGTAGTGTAGTAGTAGTATTAGTAGAGAAGTAGCGTCGTCGGTAGTACTTCGTAGTAGTAGAAGTAGTAGCCATAGAGATAGTAGTAGTAGTAGTAGTAGTAGTAGTAGTAGTAGAAGTAGGATTGTTCTTACTATTGTTATCATTTGTCGTAGTAGTAGTAGTAGCAGCAGTAGTAGTAGTAGTAGTAGTAATAGTAGTAGTAGTAGTAGTCGTAGTAGTAGTAGTAGTAGTAGTAGTAGTAGTAGTAGTAGTAGTAGTAGTAGTAGTAGTAGTAGTAGTAGTAGTAGTAGTAGTAGTAGTAGTAGTAGTAGTAGTAGTAGTAGTAGTAGTAGTAGTAGTAGTAGTAGTAGTAGTAGTAGTAGTAGTAGTAGTAGTAGTAGTAGTAGTAGTAGCAGTAGTAGTAGTAGTAGTAGTAGTAGTAGTAGTAGTAGTAGTAGTCGTCGTAGCAGTAGATTTGTAGTAGTAATACTCGTGGCACGAATCACATTTCGAATAATATCAGCAGTGTTATTAATCAGAGTGGCAATACGAATACTACGACCAAACACACACATAAAGCACGTTATTATTCATTCACATAAGTGTATTACGGCGGATGATGATGATGATGATGATGATGATGCTGCTGATGATGATGATGCTGATGATGATGATGATGATGATGAGGAGGAGGAGGAGGAGGAGGAGGAGGAGGAGGAGGAGGGGGGAAGAGGCGGATAATGAGGAGGAGGAGGAGGGGGAGGCGGAGGATGAGGATGCTGCTGATGATGCTGCTGCTGATGATGATGCTGATGATGATGAAGAGGAGGAGTAGGGAGCAGGCATACGACGACACATACTAACTCGAATGCTACGAATGATAAGAATTATTCGAATGAGACAACTCAGACGACTAATACGAACACCAGTAAGAACATCGCTAGTAACAAGAAAGTGCTACTCGCAAGGAGAAGGCGAGGAGGAGGAGGAGGAGCAGGAGGAGACGGGGGAGGAAGAGGAAGCTGATGAGGAGGAGGCAGATGAGGAGCCGTTTCATTGCAGCCTGTTTCGGCGCGGTGCCGCTCGAAGCAGCACCTTTTCAATCAGCCCGCGACGGCGAGGACTATGCAATATACATGGCGGCTTGTGGTGCAGTAGATGCTATGGACGTGCAATTTTACATCGACTGCAGTGGCACGCTCGGAGCGCTCCGATGCCCGCCGTTTGCGCAGAGCTCGAGCTGCTTGCGTAGTCACTTGTGGGCGCGTGTGTTTCACACCTTCGATGGGATCAGCCCTACTGTTACCAAGGTGAACGCCCACCCCAGTTGGACTGATGTTGAAGTCGGTCGGACTACCGCTGAATTGGGTTCTGCTGCTGATAAATATGCGAAAATAGGAGCCGCCTGCCACCCCAGCACCGCTGAAGCTACAGCTGCGGGACGTGTGTTTAAGCAGCTGGCAAGAGAAGCGGGTCACTGGGCCGCTGAGCAGGAAGACCTGATGGCCAACAGAGGCCTGCGGGAAGCAGAGGATCTTCCCGAGCTGGCCCTCGAGGCCAAAGGTCGCGACCGCCCGCAGCTTGGGCCTCTCGAGAGCTTCAGAATAGATCGGCAGTTGTTTGCTTTGGACCCTGGGGCCCAGGTCGACCTCGAAATCCTCATGGGGCTGACCCGCCATGCCATAAGGAAAGCCACTGTTTTTCGAGCCGGCGGGCAGCGCGTTGTGCGTGGCTCCACTGTTTTATTCTGCGCGGCATGTGGGGCTTACAGTTGGGGCGGAGTCAAGTCTTTCTGCAGATTGTGCCCCAAGCCTCGAGATGCAACGGTTGCCCTTCGTATATAGAAAAGCAGAGCAGCTCAGCGCCTCTTTCCTGGGTGGGCTCCACAATACAGAGTGTGGACCATCGGGCAACCGCGCCAGGCCACTCCTTTCGACCTCGAGCTTGCTGTCCGTTCCAACGGATCTCCTTTCAGACTGCCTACTGATGTGGGGGTGGAGGCGTCGGAGCTTGGTGGGCGGGGTGTGTGGGGGGAGAAATGGAGTGAAGCTCGGACATCGGCTCGCTTCGGACTGACGTCTGGGGACCTGGCAATGTGGAGCCAGAGGCTGGAGCGAATTCGGATGGGCCCGAAGCATCTTCCGGACAACGCTGATCTGGAATGAGTGTGCTTGTATGTCATCCTCCAAGTGAGGGGCGGATTTCATTGCTCTGCTGCTATGGGTCGCAGTTCATGGCCGCAGTGGGAAACAGAAACAGAGGAGGGAGAGGAGGAGGAGGAGGAGGAGGAGGAGGAGGATGAAGAGAAGGAGGCGGAGGAAGAGGAGGAGGAGCAGTATGAGGAGGAGCAGAAGGAGGAGGAAGAGGAGGAGGAGGAGAGACAGGCGGAGGAGGGACCATCAGCATGGAGGAGGGAGATCGAGGATGACGTGGAAGGGAGTATGAGGAGGCTGACGACGACGACGGTGACGACGATGATGAGGATGATGCTGAGGATGAGGATGTTGCTGCTGATGAGGAGGATGGTTACGAGGATGCTTCAGCTGATGACGATGATGAGGATGATGCTGATGATGAGGATGATGATGCTTCAGCTGATGATGATGACGGTGATGATGGTGACGATTGTCATGATGTTGATGATGCTGCTGGTGATGATGATAATGATGATCATGACCATGATGTTGATGATGATGGCGATGATGATGATGATGATGATGATGATGATGATGATGATGATGATGATGGTGATGGTGATGCTGCTGCTGCTGCTGATGAGGCTGATTCTGATCACGATGATGATGATGATGATGATATCGCCAGTGCTACTCACGATGATTATACTTCTGCTGTCGATGAGGATGCTGATGATGATGATTAATGTCATGCGCATGATGATGCTCATGATGCTGATCATGACGGTAATGGTGGTGATGATGACGATGATGCTGTTGCTGATGGGGATGCTGCTACTGATGATGCTGATGCTGCTGTTGATGGTCACGGTGGTGGTCATTATGCTGATGCTGGTGATGATGACGATGATGCTGATGATGTTGATGATGATGATGCCGATGCTGATGCTGATGATGATATTGCTGCTGCTGACGATCTTGATGACTCTGATGATGCTGATGGTGATGTAATGCTGATGATGAGGAGGATGATGACGACCTGGATGATGCTGATGATGCTGCGATGATGATGATGATGATGATGATGCTGCGGATGCGGATGATGATGATCATGACAACGATGCTGATGGTGATGCTGCTGCTGCTGATAACAAGGATGATGATTATGATGATGTCGCTGATGATGCTGATGATGACTCTGATGCTGATGATATTGATGATGATGATCACACTGATGATGAGGTATGCTGATGCTGATGGTTATGACGATTATGGTGATGCTGATTTTTATGATGATGCTTCTGAAACTGATGACGATGATGATGCTGCTGATGATGATGATGCCGATGATGATGCTGATGATAATGATGATGATGCTGATGATGCTGCTGCTGATGCTGATGATGACGATGATGTCGCTACTGATGCTGCTGATGCTGATGCTGTGGCGATTACGTTGATGCTGACGCTGATGCTGCTGCTGATGATGATCATGTTGCGGGTGTTTATGGTTAGATGCTGACGGTGGTGACGATGATTGTCATGGTTCTGATGCTTATGCTGATGCTGATGCCGATGATGACGATGATCACGATGATGATTAGGCCGAGGATTAGGACGAGGATGAGGATGAGGAAGAGGATGATCATGCTGATGATGGTGATGCTGCTGCTGCTGCTGATGATTATCATTATGAACATGATTCTGGTGATTCTGATGATGCTGATGATGATGGTGATGATGTTGATGATGATGATGATGATGATGATGATGATGATGATGATGATGATGATGATGAGGATGGTGATGCTGATGCTGCTGATGATGATGAGGATGATGGTAATGATGATGATGCTGATGATGGTGACGATGACGACGACGACGACGACGACGACGACGACGACGACGACGACGACGACGACGACGACGACGACGACGACGACGACGATGATGATGATGATGATGATGATGATGATGATGATGATGATGATGATGATGATGCTGCTGCTGATAATGATGATGAGGATGATGCTGATGACACATCTGAGAAGGATGTCGAGAATGGGAAGGAGGATGCGGAGAGGAACAGGAACAGGAGGACACGAGGGTCTGGAGGAAGGGAGGAGGACGAGGAGGCTCATGCTCGCGCCAGGCTGGAGGGTAACATCAAGAAGCTCGAGGGCGATGCTGCGCAGATTGCCGATCAGCGCAAGATGATCGGCAAGGAGGTGATGAGGCGGGGAGCACGTGCGCGCGGTGCTCCTGCTGCTGTGCCACCTTCGCCCTCCTCTGTCCTTCTGCTGCCTCCCTCCTCCTGATCCACCTCCTCCTCCTCCTCCTACTCCTACTCCTCCTCCTCCTCGACCTCCTCCTCGCGACGAGGAGTCCGTAGCCGTTGTAGCTCAAGATCCAGTGCTCGAGGGGATAAGTGGATACATCTGATCCGAGGCTAGACCCAAGGATTTCATCCACACAATCCTCACAGTGAGCTACCCAGTGGCCGTGAACGCGTTCTCACCGTACCCACGCTAGCGGGTAAACTGAGGCGTTCCCAGTTCCTGTTTGCGCAGGTACATTTCTCGGCATTTTGCGGAGGGGGTCAGCAGTCATGGCAGGCAAGAATGGCGAGAAGAAGGTCACCGCTCGGGAAACCAGTGAGCCTCGCAATTAGTCACCGACTCGACGGCAGGGGAGTCTTAGCCCAATGACACCGAGGAGGAGCCCCACTACACCAAGGACGAGGCCGAGGCACGACAGGAATGGCAGTCGTGAGAGGGAGAAATCGGGAACTAACAGTGTTTTTGAATCAGTGAAGTCGTCGGATAGCCCGCCTTTCCGGCCCCCTGGTGGATGGATGAACTCATCAAAAGCTTGAGGGCGAACGACAATGCAGTGACCCTCTTGGAACAGGCAATGCATCAGGATATGTTAAGGATCAGGACGGCCATGGTGATGCAGGGTCAGAACATGCAGGCGGTTCACGCAAGATTGCAAACCGTGGATGATACTGAGGGTTACTCTATTTTCGTCGGCTGTGCAGGCTGCTGTTGATATTCTAGACGTTTCGCGTATTCGCGTATCCCCACCAGCTGGGTATACGACGGTCCCGTCCCTCGGGTGCTACCTGACACGCTTTCGGGTGGCGCTGAGACACTTTGGATGTGCACCTTCGGCCCGCGTTCCTACCGTGTGGCTTTGTGCGCACTGCTGCGCCCTTATCTGTCGGTGGATCAAGGGCCTGACGCATCACAGTTGTGGAAGTTTCTTTCTGGCTACTCTCACTCCACACCCTGGATGCGTATACTGACGTTGCGATGTACTGATCCGCCGTCAGGTCTTCCCGTTGGACATTGTCGCCAGACAGTCTGTGTTACCCGTCAGACTCCCTGGATAGACGTCTTCGGGACCGTTCCTACCCGTTCGACTCGAACTGTCGGGAGCGCCTTACGCGCCATTTTGGCTGCGCTCGGCTTCGTCGGTGCCTGTATTCAGACTCCCTGGATGCGCCGTTGCATGACCCGTCCTGGGACTGCCCTGCAGACTCCCTGGATTGCACGCCTTGGCTCAGACGCCCTGGGTAGCTGCTGCCTGCCTCCGACCGCAGCTTCGCGCGCGCCCGCCGCTAGTCGCGGCCGCAGCCCGCCCGCGACCGCCCGCCGCCGGCGCTTCCGCCTGCGGCTGTTAAAAAAAAAGTATCCCCACCAGCCCATCAGAAACTATGCCCAAACAAGTTGCCCTGATGAGGAGTGTGGAGGATCATGCAGTGGAATGAAAGGCTGGGTAAGACGACGTACCCCAAGAAGGGGGAGGATGGAGGAGGAATCGGAGGAGGAGGAGGAGCAGGAGGAGGAGGAGGAGGAGGAGGAGGAGGAGGATAAGGAGAAGTGAGAGGGGGGGATGGAGGAGGGAGGAGGAGGAAACGGGAGGAGGCGGAGGAGAAGGAGGAGGAGGAGGAGGAGGAGGAGGAGGGCGAGCAGACAGGTCAGAGACCTCTATGATGCCTCTCGGAGCCTCGTCGAATTTCTTTCGAATCCTCCTGGGGTTCTCTCGGCAGTCCCGGGAGCCTCTTACGGCGTCTTCCCATTCCCATTGCCATTCCCATTCCATTCCATTCCATTCCATTCCAGTCCAGTTCAGTCCATTCCAGTCCATTGCATTCCATTCCATTCCATTCCATTCCATTCCATCTCATTTCATTCCATTCCATTCCACTCCACTCCACTCCAGTCCATTCCTCCTCCTCTTCCTCCTCTTCCTCCTCTTCCTCCTCCGCCTCCTCTTCCTCCTCCCCCGACCTCCTTCGCCTCTTCCTCCTCCTCCTCCACCTGAAGCTCAGTTGTGCCTTCCCCTTCGCATTGCCGCACGCAAACTCGGCGGCGCGCAACCGTGGGCGAAGCTAGCAGGGCAGCCTTCGGAGGATTCGCCCCGTCTCCTCAGGCCCTCCTCCTCCTCCCCGTCCTCCTCCTCCCCCTCTTCTTCAGGCGACGCGCGGGCGACGCGCAGGCGGCGGTGCGCGCGGCTCGCGGGTGCGACGGGTGCCGGGCGGCTCGAGCGGAGCTCGGGGGCGGCAGGGAGGGGGGTGATGACTTAGGGGGGGCTGGTGGTGGATATCACGGCGGGGGCCACGAGATCTCCCCAGATTTCATGGCGCCTCCTCTCATTTCAGTACGTCCCTGGCCCCCCCCTGAAATTGCAGTGGGCCTCTTCTGTTTTCCAGCATGTGTGATTGCAGTAGCATTGTCTCCGTCCTCTCCCCTCCCCCTCCTTCCCCTCCCTCCTCCACTGCTCCCGGCGCCTGCGTCTGGCAGGCACACGGGCTGTCGCGCGATGTATTATCCGTGAGCCAGCGGTGCTCACATCGATTCCGTGCCGATGCGCCGTTGCGTGGCGCCTGGCTTGTTAGGGGAACGAAAAGTGTCATTAACATATTATCCCAGTGCGACCCTACCTAGGAGTTGGAACCCCTAGGAAAGCAGCATTAGTAGTAACAGTAACGCTAAGCTAAAGCTAAGCTAAAGCTAAGCTAAAGCTAAGCCACAGCTAAGCTAAAGCTAAGCTAAAACTAAGCTAAATATAAGCTAAAACTAAGCTACAGCTAAGCTAAAGCTAAGCTAAAGCTAAGCTAAAGCTAAGCTAAAGCTGAGCAACAGCTAAGCTAAAGCTAAGCTACAGCTAAGCTAAATATAAGCTAAAGCTAAGCTAAAGCTAAGCTAAACATAAGCTAAATCTAAACTAAAGCTAAGCTACAGCTAAGCTCAAGCTAAGCTAAAGCTAGCTAAAGCTAAGCTAAAGCTAAGCTAAACGCTAAGCGAAAAGCTAAGCGAAAAGCTAAGCGAACCGCTAAGCTAAAGCTAAGCTACAGCTAAGCTACAGCTAAGCTACAGCTAAGCTAAAGCTAAAGCCCTGAGGATTTCGCCATGCGGGCGCGTGCAGCGCGGGGGGCGGCCCGCCGCGCAAGGCTGACCGGTGCGCTGGTCGACGTGAACACCACCAACGAGCAGTACACCGCGACGCTGAAGCAGCTGACCGACGAGACGAACAGCCTGCTCAACCAGGCCTGGGGCAAAGCGGAGCGCGCGAGAGAGATGCGAGAAGAGGGGGAGAGGGAGAGGGAGAGGGAGAGAGCGAGAGTGAGCGCAAGAGAGAGAGAGAGAGAGAGAGAGAAAAAGAGAGAGGGGAGCTGGCTGGCAGAAGGACAAGGATCTTGAGAGGCAAAGCTTGCAAAGAGGGAGGTGTAGAGGGGCAGGGGTGCTGGACGGGAGGAGGGATGAGAGGAGGAGGAGGAGGAGGAGGAGGAGGAGAGGAGGAGGAGGAGGAGGAGGAGGAGGAGGAGGAGGAGGGAGGAGGAGGAGGAGGAGGAGGGAGGGAGGAGGAGGCGGAGGAGGAGGCGGAGGAGGAGGAGGAGGAGGGAGGAGGAGGAGGAGGCGGAGGAGGAGGCGGAGGGGGGAGGGGGGAGCAGGACGAGGACTGCACGGGGGAGGACGTGCAGAGGGGGGGGCGGTCCAGCAGCTGCGCCCTCCCTGGGCGTGCCTCGCTGGAGCCGCCGCGCTCCCTGGACGGCGTGGAGCTGCGCCCGGCCAGGCGCGAGGCGGCGTCGGAGAGGAGGGCCCACGGGCCGTCCCCTCTGTCAAGGCAGGAAGAACCACCCAGACCCGACACTTGGCGTTTCATGTTTTCGGGGTTGGACAGACCTCCTACCCTGACACGTCGATTGAGGAATTGGCCGTTTTCGGTTCGCGAGAGGGCGTCGCGGCCGTCATTTTTGCGGGTCCAGGTCCATCGGTTTCGGTCCCAGGCCGTTTTCACTAAGGGGAGGTCTACTAAAGGGAGGTTTGTCCACCGCCGATGTTTGGCCCTGGGCGTTTACTGAACGGCCCCGCCCTGTTTAATAATGCCTTCTGGTGATCGTTTTTTATTCCGATCGGTGCGGGCCTTCGCACCCCCCCGCCCCTCCCCCCCCCTTTCTTCAGCGGGCCTCGAGGGGCCTCCATCGGCTGCCACAGGGCCTGCAGCCTCCAGGGGTCCCCCTTTTCGTCGGGCCAAGCGCTTGTAAGCGTTGCCGACCGATGAACCCTTGGAAGCGCTGCGTTTTCGACATGGCAGCTGGCGGCCAAGACGCCTCGCACAGGACGTGGCAGGAAGGCGTGGCGCATCCGCTCTGCGCGCTTCAGTCTGCAACCGTCGCTGTGCACCTTTTCGCTCCCTCTGCTGTAGACGGTCATGCATGCTTCTTCTTCTGCTTCTGCCCTGTCTCAGACGTAGGCGTACACCAATACCCATCGTTACACGAGAGAGAGAGAGAGAGAGAAACAAACAGTGAGAAAGGGGTATCTATATATATATATATATACACACTATATAATTATATATTATATATTATATATATGTATATAGAAAGGGAGAGAAAGCGCACTGTGAGAGCATTCGTGACACGAGGGCGGCCTCGCGAAGAGAGGGGATCTTCATGTCCAGCCAGGACCCGAAAATGAGGGACACTTCGGGCTCACGAGGGGCTCTGGGTTTCGGGCCGCTCCTTACATAGGTCTAGGTCGGGGAACCCTGTCGTGGTCGAGGCTCGCCTTGGCCAGAACAGCCCCTGCGTTCACTATTTGGTGTTTCTTGTGGTAGCACGATGACTGTAGTGGGCTGGGCGCGTGCGTCCTCTCTGGGCTCCCCAGCCCACCCCACCCACCACTGGGGGGAGGGGCTGGAGGGTGCGCGGGGGCGACGCCAGAGAGCCCGAGGCGAGCCGAGAATGCGGAGCGCGGGGTGGCCGCGGGCGAGCGGTCTCTGCCAGAGATTGTCTCCGCGGGTCGGGTCGGGGGCGGGGGCGGTAGGGATCGTCGCGTCTCCGGCGCCGTGCCTTCCGCATGCCGGCGCTCTTTCTCGTCCGATCTCGGCCACCATCGGCCCTCGGCTGGGCCCCAGGGAGCCATGCATGAAGCGAGCCGCGCCGAGAGTCTGGCCCCTCTTTCCTCCTGTTCTTGTTGCTGCAGGTATTGCGTACATGGTTTCTTCCTCGACCATGCTTGTATGTATGCATGTATGTAAGTATGTAAGTGCCTAATTATGCATGCATGTATGTATGTATGTATGCATGCATGCATGCATGCATGTATGTATGTATGTATGTGTGTATGTATGTATGTACGTATGTATGTATGTATGTATGTATGTATGCCTGTATGTAGTATCAATGTATCAATGTATGCATGCATGTATGTATGTCTGTATGTCTGTATGCGTGTATGTATATATCTACGTACGTACACACGTATGTACGTATACATGTATGTATGTGTGTATGTATGTATGCATGCATGCATGTATGTATGTTTGTATGGATGTATGTATACATGTATGTATGTATGCATGCATGCATGCATGCACATATATATGTATGCATGTATGTATGTATGCATGCATGTATGTATGTATGCATGTATGTATGTATGTATGTATGTATGTATGTATGTATGTACGTATGTGTGTGTACGTATGCGTGTGTGTATGTATGTATGTATGTATGTATGTATGTATGTATGTATGTATGTATGTATGTATGTATGTATTCATGCATGTATGTATGTATGTATGTAGGTAGGTAGGTATGTATGTATGTATGTATGTATGCATGTATGTATGTAGGTATGCACACACACACATATATATATATGTATGTTCACCGCACATGCATACACATCTCGTAGTAGGTTTATATATGTATAGTTATGAAGTGCACACATATATGTCTATTCAGCATTCTTATGTGCGTGGAGAGAAGGGGAGAGAAAACACAACATAATGTGGGGACAACCAGGTGGGTGGGTTGGGAGGGCAGTCGTGCAGAACTAGTGACCGGACGGCGGGCGTCGGTCGAGCGCAGCCCCGGGGCAGGACCACCGAACAATTGCCAAGAGGGTTACGTCGCGTCCCGCTCGAGATGGCTGCTCACCAGGGCCACACCACGCAAGGGGGCCTTGCTCCTCGCCCCGCCCCCGCCTCTGCGCTCCTCCGCCTTCGCCGTCGGCGCCGGAGGTGCAGATGCTGTCGATGAGCAAGAACGACCTGCTGTCCCGGGTCGCCATGTTCCGGAAGGAGAGCGACAAGCTGGTGAAGACCGTCATCATGATGAACGAGAAGAACCAGGACAGAGTCCACGGAGGGGCTTCGACGAGTCACCACCGCCGTGCCTGGCCAGGGCCCCCCCGGTGGTCGAGGCAAGGAGGCTGTGTACATCACTCGGGGGCGGCCAGGAGGGGGGTGATGACTAGGGGGGGGGTGGATATCATGGCGGACGTCCCTGGCCCCCCCCCCTGGGCAGCGCACATGCCGCCGGCCATGATTTGCGCCCCCCCTCTTGGACGCCCCCCTCTTGGCCGCCCCCGAATCACTCCAGGGCTCAGGATGGCCCTGGCCAGAGGTAGTGGTGGTGGTGATGGTGTACAGTCGGACCGAGGTATAACATCGAGGCCGGTTCGGGGAGGGTACCCGAGTGTTCTTCGTGTTTGTTGGTATGCTCTCTTGCATTCTGGGGAGGATGCCATTGGCTGTTCTGTTTGTTGCGGCCGACGGAGGGTCTCATGTTCTTGGAGGATGTTCTTCCGGCCCAGGTCCGATTGTACATCGCCATGAAAGGGAAGGGGGTTTTGAGGGGAGAGAAATGGGCCCTGAGGAACTCGTGCCCCAGAGCCTGGGGCTCTCCCCACGATCGGTTCTTCATCTAGAGCTCTAGAACAGCTTTTCTGACGGTCCCGGGGCCCGTCGAGGACCCTGGGGGCCAGAGAACGGCGAATAGCCTCCAGGATCCTCCTCCTCCTCTCCTCCTCCTCCTCCTCCTCCTCCTCCACCTCCTCCTCCTCCTCCTCCTCCACCTCCTCCTCCTCCTCCTCCTCCTCCTCCTCCTCCTCCTCCTCCTCCTCCTCCTCCTCCTCCCAGGGAGTGCCTCCCGGCGGCTCCAGCGGTGGCCGGGGTCGGATTCGGGCTAATGGGTCCTCTGCAAATGGGGTCTCGAAAATGCACGCAATAGTTCGCGCAATCGTTCGTGCTGGATGCGCACGTCGTACTACATCAGCACGTGGCTGCCACGCGCCATGCGTCACTGGATGAACTATTGCATTTCGTTTTTGCAACCCCATTACGTAAGACCCCTTTGCACGGAACCAACGGGGAAGGGGGGAGATTGGCCCAGGTTCTGGCCCTGTCACCAGACTCTCTCGCGTCGTGAGCATGAGGCACGGCGCAAGGTTCTCGGCCATTTTCGGCCTCTGAGGGTCCCTTGGCGAGCTTGGGGGCGGTCAACAAAAACTACTCTGGACAAGTATCTGGCACCGAGGAAGTCTTGCAGACCTCTGGGGTGTCCAAATCGCGAACGAATCACGACGTCGCGGATTTGGGAACGTGGCTGAGGAACGGGGGTGTCTGCCTAGGGCCCAGTCTCGTTCCTCCCCTCGGCCTCCTCCCTCGAGAACCCAGATCATCAAGTGGCATTATCAAAACCTTGCGGGCGTCTGCGCGGATCGCTCGGGCTCGACCCCAGATATCCAGCGCCTCGATCTCTGGGCTGCCAGACCCGCCGACGCCATTCGCAGGGCCCCGTCGTCGCACTCCTAGCCGCTTTGCGAACGCCCTGGGGGCCCGAGATTGGCCCCCGAGAGGCCGGAGATGTCAGCGAAAAGTTGGTCGTCCTCGTCCTCTCCGAGCCGTCGCCGTGACCTTCCTGCAGCGGGGCCACCCCTGCTGACCCTGGGACCTGGCGCAGGGAACACATTGCAGCGCCGCGGAAGATCATCCCAACTAGAGCCCCAGACTCCATCTGTCCGCGCCGTTTTCCGAGCTGGATCGATCTGCGAGGGTTTTCCAGGATCCGAAGCTGGAGGCACTCGCCCGGCTCCAGCAGCAGAAGTGAGACGCCAGGATTTTGGGGTCGAGGCGCCGCCGTGGCCTTCCTGCAGCGGTGCCCCCCTGCCCCCCTCCCCCCCCGGGACCGGCTTTTCGTCCTGAGTCGTTCTGTGGCGGCCCCGAGGCCCGGCGAGGGCCCCCCGCGGCCGAAAACGCCCCAAAACCTCCCCTCTTGTTACCTAACAGCGAAGACTGATAGGTTTCTAGTGGTCTCAAAAGAGAGCAGCAGATGACTCCACAGGGGGGTCTGGGCGGGTGCCGGACAGGGTGCCGCAGAAGTCGTTTTAAGCCAACAGTCACACACTTCGTGCTCTTCGACCTCCCAGAACTCCATTCCCGGGCCACATTCTGAATGCCCGGAGCCAACTGTAGGCCACTTCGTGCTCTTCGACTTCCCAGAACTCCATTCCCGGGCCACATTTTGAATGCCCGGAGCCAACTGTAGGCCACTTCGTGCTCTTCGAGTCCCCAGAACTCCATTCCCGGGCCACATTTTGAATGCCCGGAGCCAACTGTAGGCCACTTCGTGCTTTTCGATTCCCCAGAACTCCATTCCCGGGCCACATTTTGAATGCCCGGAGCCAACTGTAGGCCACTTCGTGCTCTTCGATTCCCCAGAACTCCATTCCCGGGCCACATTTTGTATGCCTGGAGCCAACTGTAGGCCACTTCGTGCTCTTCAAGTTCCCAGAACTCCATTCCTGGGCATGATTTTGAATGCCCGGAGCCAACTGTAGGCCACTTCGTGTTCTTCTAGTTCCCAGAACTCCATTCCTGGGCCACATTTTGAATGCTGAGGCAGGCTGATGCTGCGGCCGAGGCAGGCTGAGGCTGAGGCAGGCTGAGGCTGAGGCCGAGGCTGAAGGCAGACTGAGGCTGAGGCTGAAGCAGACTGAGGCTGAGGCTGAGGCAGGCTGAGGCTGAGGCTGAGGCAGGCTGATGCTGAGGCAGGCTGAGGCTGAGGCTGAGGCTGATGCAGGCTGAGGCTGAGGCAGGCTGAGGCTGAGGCTGAAGGCAGACTGAGGCTGAGGCTGAAGCAGGCTGAGGCTGAGGCTGAGGCAGGCTGAGGCTGAGGCAGGCTGAGGCTGAGGCTGAGGCAGGCTGAGGCTGAGGCTGTGACTGCGACTGCCGTTGCCGCTGCGACTGTCGTCGCGAATGCGACTACGACTGCGAGAACAGCAGAATTCTACAACTGGATTTTCGTCTGAATCTTAAGGGGAATGCTTCCAGATATGCTCCTACACATCGCTGTTAGGTTGCTTTGCCGGGATATTTTTTTTTTGTGTGCGACGCGATCCTGTCTCGGCGAGAAACATCGCCCGCAGCAGTGCCCCCCCCCTCCCGGGAGCCGCGGCCGCTACCGCCGCCCCCTTCGCCGGGGCGCGGGAACGCCGAGCCGCGCGCCCGCGTCTCGAGGGGGGACGCCTGGGTGGCCTGGTGGCAGGCTGGGCGCGGCCCTGAAGCCCCTCTGTCGTCGTCGTCGTCGTCGTCGTCGTCGTCGTGGTGGTGGTGGTGGTGGTGATGGTGGGGTTGTTGTTGTTGTTGTTGTTGTTGTTGTTGTTGTTGTTGTTGTTGTTGTTGTTGTTGTTGTTGTTGTTGTGTGGTTGTGGTTGTGGTTGTGGTTGTGGTTGTGGTTGTTGTTGTTGTTGTGGTTGTGGTGGTGGTTGTTGTTGTTGTTGTTGTTGTTGTTGTTGTTGTTGGTGTTGGCGTTGGTGTTGGTGTTGTTGCTGCTGTTGTGGTTGTTGTGTTTGTTGCTGTTGTTGTTGTTGTTGCTGTTGCTGTTGTCGTTGTTGTTGCTGTTGCTGCTGTCGCTGCTGCTGTTGCTGTTGCTGTTGCTGCTGCTGTTGTTTTTGTTGCTGATGCTGTTGCTGTTGCTGTGGCTGTGGCTGCTGTTGTTGTTGTTGTTGCTGTTGTTGTTGTTGTTGTTGTTATTGTTATTATTATTGTTGTTGTTGTGGTTGTGGTTGTGGTTGTGGTTGTTGTTGTTGTTGTGGTTGTGGTGGTTGTTGTTGTTGTTGTTGTTGTTGTTGGTGTTGGCGTTGGTGTTGGTGTTGTTGCTGCTGTTGTGGTTGTTGTGTTTGTTGCTGTTGTTGTTGCTGTTGCTGTTGTCGTTGTTGTTGCTGTTGCTGCTGTCGCTGCTGCTGTTGCTGTTGCTGTTGCTGCTGCTGTTGTTTTTGTTGCTGATGCTGTTGCTGTTGCTGTGGCTGTGGCTGCTGTTGTTGTTGTTGTTGTTGTTGCTGCTGTTGTTGTTGTTGTTGTTGTTGTTGTTGTTGTTGTTGTTGTTGTTGTTATTGTTATTATTGTTGTTGTTGTTGTTGTTGTTGTTGTTGTTGTTGTTGTTGTTGTTGTTGTTGTTGTTATCGTTGTTGTTGCCGCTGTTGTTGTCGTTGTTATTGCTGTTCTCGTTCTCGTTATTGTTCTTGTTCTCGTTGTCGTTCTTGTTATTGCTCTTGTTCTTGTTGTTGTTGTGGCTGTTGTTGGTGTTGTTGTTGTTGTTGTTGTTGTTGTTGTGGTTGTTGTTGTTCTTGTTCTCGTTGTCGTTGTTGTTGTTGTTGTTGTTGTTGTTGTTGTTGTTGTTGTTGTTGTTGTTGTTGTTGTTGTTGTTGTTGCTGTTGTTCTTGTTGTTATTGTTGATACAGGCGGGGCAGGCCCCCCCGGGGGGGAGATGGGAGGGGGGGGGGGCGAACAACACAATACAACACAACGCAACCCTATGGGGGTTTGCGTGTGTGTGTGTGTGCACAGGTGCGGCGGGTTCGCGCCGTGTCGACCCGGCGGAGACCTCGCCTCGGGCGTTTAGGGCTGAACGCCGCCAGTGGCCCAGAATCGGCCGAGATTCAACGGTGCTTGTCCTCGGAGGGCCGCGATCGTTCAAGGTTGAACGATCCATGCGGTGTCAGAGTCCAACGCCGGGGTCGTTACGACACGAACCTACTGTAACACGCCCTTCAGTGCTAGCGCTGTTTGGGGAGCCACCGTGGACGGTTTTGAGACGATGTTCGTTTGGTCTCCTTGCTGGCCGTTTGCTTGACCGCTTGTTGGACCCAACCTGCCGCAGACTAAACTGTTTGCCCCCCTTACTCGAATCAAGATAGCTCGTCGATTAGGGTTTCTCATCCCCTTGTCCTCCTGCTGTTGCTGCCTCTCCTCTGTCAAGGCAATCTGGGCGCTTCCGTTCCCGCGCCTCGCCAGGAGCTCACGGAGTGCGTCATCCTGACCGAGTCCGAGACCGAGAAGCTGACGGCGGACCTGAAGAACGCGGTGTTGAAGCAGAAGGAGCGTGGGGCCGATCGGCGCAGGCCCCAGGCCCCCCCCCTTCCCCCCCACAGACCAGATTTAAGTCGGGCCTGTCCCTCTACGGGAGGAATCAGGGGGCGATCTTTTTACTATGTTTGGCTATTTTGGAGTATGTTTGGAGTATTTTTAATTTTTCGCCCAAGATCCGCCTGTAGGAGGACATGCCCGACCTAAGACCAGACCTTGGCTGCTTTTGGCGGCCACTTTTGGCGGCTGCTCTTGCCGACTGGTCCGAGGCCTGCTTGCGCAACCGGTAAAAGCAGATCGGCCAATCACCGGCCCAGACCCAGACCCTCCCTCCACCCACCCTTCGGCCAATGTCGAAACCCAGAACGAAGAAACGTTTTCCTCCTCCAGAAACAACCTCTCAGTATGTCTCGGGTGGCACGCCCATCTAAACTCGGTGATGCCGCGTTCATTTGAATGCCCCCGAACGGTGAGCTGAAGCTCACTGCCGTTCTACAGTGAAGACTCTGAAATCCGAGCCACGACGATGCAGTAGTAGCAATCACGCCGATCGCGCGTGTATCCTGCTGTTGCTTATTTTCTTCTCATCCTCACTCCGCCGCCCTCTCCTGCCCCTCCTTACTCGACGCGCTGCTCCTGTGGCTTAAGCTTCGAAGCTGTTCGAGAGCTTGTCGAACGAGGAGCGCCGACCCTCCGCGCTGCGACCTCCCCTCGGGAGCGGAGCCCCCGGCTCCCACCCACGGATCTTCTAGAGTTGCGGATGTTCGGGAGCATTTGCGATTTCTCCATCTCACTGCCTCTCCTCCACGGCCGCGTAGTAGGCATGACTCTTCCTGGAGCTACCTCTGCGCGATCAGAGTGCGCCAAGCATACACTTGCACCGATCCTGGCCTGGGCCCATCCTGTGCCCAGGACTGGTGCTTCGCTGGCCTGGCCGTGAAGAACTACACACCGATCCTGGGCCCAGGATCGGCCCGTCCACGATCGATGCGGGTGTATAGTTTGCGCCATCCGAGAAAAGTGCGCGCAGGGATTCAGAGTGATCTGGCGCCCCGCTGGAGGTCCGCAGAGGTGCCCACAGGTCCGCGGAGGCCTCTGGACGCCTCCAGAGACCCCCACAGTCGGCAGCGTCTGAAAAGTCAGATTTCCAGTCAATGGTGGTGGTGATGGTGCTGATGATGCTGATGCTGCTGCTGATGATGCTGATGATGATGATGATGCTGATGATGATGATGATGATGATGAGGATGAGGATGGGGACGAGGATGAGGATGATGATGAGGATGACCCTGTCGATGAAGACGATGATAACAAAAATAACGCTGATGCTGATGATGAGGAGGAGGAGGACCAGGATGAGGATGATGAAAACGAGGATGAGGATGATGATGACAAGGATGGTGATGGTCATGGTGATGGTGGTGGTGACGACGATGACAATGATGCTGCTGCTGCTGATGATGACAATGCTGCTGCTGATGATGAGGATTGGAGGAGGAGGAGGATGAGGATGAGGATGATGATCATGATGATGATGCTGATGTTGATGATGATGATGGTGGTGATGATGATGATCATGCTGCTGCTGATGCTGATGCTGCTGCTGATGATGATGCTGCTGATGATGATGCTGATGATGCTGATTCTGATGATGCTGAGTATGCTGCTGTTGATGGTGACGATGATGGTGGTGGTAGAGGTGGTGATGATGATGCTCATGCGAATGCTGATGCTGATGCTGCTGATAATGAGGGTGATAGTGATGGTGATGGTGATGGTGGCGATGATGATGATGATGATGATGATGATGATGATGATGATGATGATGATGATGATGAGGATGAGGATGAGGATGAGGATGAGGATGATGATGATGACGATGATGATGATGATGATGATGATGATGCTGATGCTGATGATGATGATGATGATGATGATGATGATGATGATGATGATGATGATGATGGTGATGGTGGTGATGATGATGGTGCTGATGCTGCTGCTGCTGTTGATGGTGACTATGCTGATGATGCTGCTGCTGTTGAAGGGTGATGATTGTGGTGGTGGTGGTGGTGATGATGATGATGATGATGCTGATGCTGATGCTGATGCTTCTGGTGCTGATGATGCTGCTGTTGATGGTGATGATGATGGTGGTGATGATGACGATGATGGTGGTGGTGGTGGTGGTGGTGATGATGATGATGATGATGATGATGATGATGATGAGGATGGTGGTGGTGATGATGATGGTGGTGGTGACGACGACGTGATGATGGATTCTGAAGTGCTTCCCCAACACCGCATTTTTCTTGAGGAGGTGCCTACACTTCTCGACGAGCGTACGTGCAGGCCCCCTGCGGCTCTGCAGGCCCAGGAGCGGCTTTCGCGCGCTGAGCGCTCCAGGCAAAGATGCCTGCGGAGGTGCCGCTCTCAGAGTGAGGGTGTCCGAGCGGTGTTCCTTCATCCTTGGCGCGGGCGTGGCCGCTGTGTGCAGGCAGCCGCTGAGCGAGGGACACTGCACAAGGGGCCCCACTGGAGAGGGGGTCGCGCTCCCCCATCGCTTGTTCTCGCGTACGCTGGCGCGCGTGCTCACCCTCCCTCGTGTCCTCCATTCGCAGGGGGACCAGAGATCCAGCCGCACGGAGTCGCCATGACCCAATGGACTGTGGCCGTATAGCATGTCTTCTCTGCCTCTTCCTCCTGCTCCTCCTCCTGCTCCTCCTCCGGCTCCTCCTCCTCCTCCTCCTCCTCCTCCTCCCTCCTCTCTCCTCCCTCCTCCTCCTCCCTCCTAGGCGTTGTGGTCCGAGGCACCTATTTTGGGAAGCAGCCCGATCGACCACGACCCCAGCCCCGTGAGAGGGGCGCATCAGCGGCACGAGCGAGCAGCCGCGATCTCGCTCGCCCGTGTGGCATCGCCGTGAGCGGCGGCGCAGGCAGAGTCTCGGCAGCGTCTGAGGCGTGAAGTGGACATCGCCCGCCTGGAGAGCCATCACGGGAGTGCAGTGCCGACGATGGCCAAGGGCAGCGGCGGCGATGTGCCCAAGGTGTGCAGTGTGTGAGTGGAACGCGATCCTCATGCAGCGGGATTGCAGGTGCAGGTGCGGGGCCAAGATCGAGCTCCACAAGAAGAAGCCTCCCAAAGGCAAGGGCGCGGGGGAGTCGCAGGCCGAGCTGAACCTCAGCATGCCAGCAGAAGTTTCACGGGTGCGATATCGTGTGCGTGTAGGTCACGTGCGTGTGCCACTCGCCGCCGTTCGGCTCCTAAGGCCCGATTTGACCAAGGCCAGGAAAGCGTCGTCATTCACATGAGTCGTTCCCACGAAACCTCCCAGGAGTTGCCTCCTAACCTCCTCCCTCCTCTCTCCTTCCTCTCCCCTGTCCCCTGTCCCCTGTCCCTCTCCCCTTTCTCTTCCTCCTGTTATCTTGCTTACCTCTCCGCCCCTCCTGCGACGGAGGCCACGACACCGACCACACGGCAGCCGACAGCGAGACACGACGACAACGACGAGAACGACGACGAGGACGACCGGAAAATGGAAAAGTGGCACGACGACGACGGATGACGACGATGGACGACGACGGATGATGACGACGGACGACGATGAAGTCGAGGAGCGACGACGACCCTGTACGTATCCACGACTGTGCGACAACGACGGCCCGCGCGAGGAGTTGCAGCAGAAGTTGGACACGCGCGTGGGTAAGCTCAAGGCGGAGCAGGCCCAGCTGGCGCCTCGGGGATGAGGAGGAGAGGGTGAGCACGAGGAGTGAGGATCCATGGTGAGGAGGTGGAGGAGGAGGAGGAGGAGGAGGAGGAGGAGGAGGAGGAGGAGGAGGAGGAGGAGGA